CCTCTGGAGAACCGTGCCCCAGTCCTTCCCGGTGATGCGCTTACCCTGCGGTCCTGCGCCCTGGCAAGCTCCCCATGCCCTGCGTTTCCGCTGCCGCCAGCTCCTAGGAACCGAATCCAGACACGCAGCTCCGGCCAAACCGCGACCCCCAAATCTAAAGCGTTGCGACTCTTGCACCCCTCCACTGGCTCCGACAGGGCTGCAATTCGAAGGCGGACTCACCCCTTCTGAGTCCCCGAGGCGTGGTTCCTTCTGCCCTGCTGTGAAATAGACGTGGACAAGCTCCTCACAGATCCGAGGAGGCTCCCAAATTGGAACCCACCTCATGGCGGCGCCACGGAGCCCGCTCAGCTTGCGTTAGAGCACTTCTGGCATTTCTTTCCATGGAGGAGAAGGAAGGCCAGTGTGTGGCAGCTGCTGAAGCTGGGGACAGGACTTGGCTGGTCTTGAGTTGAGTGAGGAGTTTGGGATTATGTGCCATTAATTCATTAGTCCTCCTAGCACACTCTGGTAGCGTAGTGGTTACGAATCGGGCTACGAACCTTAGGGTCAGCAGTTCGAAACTACCAGCTGTTCTGAGGGAGAAAGATGAGGTGTTCTGCTCCTGTAAAGATTTACAGCCTCGGAAACCCTGTATAGGGTCGTTATGAGTCGGAATCCACTCCACGGCACATAACAACAACAACAACAACACACCCCTTGGTGCTTCGATATCTTGTGGTGGGGATCATCTGCAGACGTGCGGATGGGTACAGAGAACCAATGGGCAGTACCTCTTGCACCTTTGGAGTCCTCTCTCACCTCTGCCTGGCAGGCCTTTTTTCAAACACATGTTACTAACTTCCTGCATTTAGTGATAGGAGCCCCTTCTCAGCCTTCCTCTCATAGGCATCTCTTTCATACAGGCCCTTAACTGCCATCTGTTTGCATTAAAGACCTTTCCCCAGGGCCTGAACCATCATGGAATGTTAGGGTAAGGACCCCAACCCTTCTTTTTGTAGATAGGAACCCCTGTCCTGCTCTTGGGAGCAGCCGGAACAATATTAGTTTGTTGTTGTTGTTAAGTACCGTCAAGTGGGTTCTGAACCATAGCGAACCTGTATGGGGTTTTCCGAGGGGCCACTAGTGGGTAAGCTTGAACCACAGACCTTGCAGTTCAGACGGCATTGCAGTCTGGCTCATTCTAAGATTGTGCAGCTCTGTTTACTTCATAGCAGTGGATGTACTTAGAACCCTGCCCCAGGACATGCCTTCCTAAAAGAGGGTTTAGATCAAACAGCATTGCCAATATAGCACCATTTCAAGACCAAAGGGTGATGTATCTCCTCATCTTGGATATTCAAGGTGCTCCTTAGCATATCAAAGGCCCTAAGAAGTGACACTGTAAAAGCCACAGTATTGACTTATTTTGTTAATAGTATTAATTGTCTCTGGACCTGTTTTCTTAATTTAAGATTCCCAGCAGCCTGTGTTTCCCTGACTCAGCCCATTGGTCTATGAAGATTGGGGAGTGTGTTTTGTTCCCAGAGATTTTCTCTAACTGAGGGTGACAGCCCTCCTGCCAGGCCAGTGAGAAAGACCATACATGGAGACCTGGGATTTGGTGGATTTGAACATCCTTTTATACAACTTGGAGTCCTGGTGTAGCGCTGCAAGATACAGCACTGGACCACAAGGTTAGCTTGAACTACAAGGTCAGTTGTTCAAACTCTCCAGCTGCTCCTCGGAAACAGAGTCTCTATGTGTTGGAACCAAATCTACAGTACTTATCAACAACGACATTACACAACTTGTGATAGTTTCCCAGTCAAAAGGAACTTCACTTTGTAAGAGATCACCCAAGAGAGGAGAAGAATCTGGATCTGGGGTGAGCAGCTGGCCAAGTCCCTGGATGGTAAGATACTTCCTGGTTTTCTGGTAGGGATCATAGAGCTTTGACCAAAAAACACAGAGCCCACCTCATTTTCCAAAGGTTAAAAAATCTTATTATAGAGAATAAGTTAGAAGGCTAAAATAGTTAACACAATATTTAGAAAGTTGTGAAATTCCATCTTTTGCTAGATCCTTAAAAGGTTTCTGCTCTTTGAAGAGGTGTCTTCAATAGAAGAAACTGCAATAAAATATACCCATTGCTGTTGGGTCAATTCAGACTTATAGTGACTCTATACAGTGGATTAATGCTGCCCCATAGTGTTCCCAGGACTTTATAGAAACAGAATGCCGGGTCTTTTTTCTGGGGTCAGCTTGTGGGTTTGAGCCACTGACCTCACAGCACCACATTTTTTGTTGTTGTTAAGAGCCTTAAAGTTGGTTCTGACTCATAGCGACTTTGTATAGGGTTTCAGAAGAGCAGCTGGTGGGTTTGAAATGCCTACCTTGCGCTTCAACTTGACCTTGCAGTCCAGGGCATTAACTCCCAGTGCATACTAAGACTCCTACCACAGGAGAGGCCAAAATGTTGTTTTTGTGACTATGTATTTAAAACTTACATGAGGAGGTGTTAGTTTCTTTGTTGTGGTTGTAAAAGTGTAGAGTACTTACATTGTTGTTGTTGATAAGTGTGTTGAGTTGGTTCTGACTCATAATGATCCTGTATAGGGTTTCTGAGGAACACCTGGTGGGTTTGAACAGTGGACCTTGTGGTTCACAGTCCAGTGCTGATATATAGCGCCACACCAGGATTCCAGAAAACTTGTACCAAGTTTTAAAGATACAATCATCATAGCATTTATCTGGAGTCCTGGTGTGGTGACATAGGCTAATGCGCTGTACTGCAAAGTCAGTTTGAACCACAAGGTTGGTGGGTCAATCTTACCAGCTGCTCCTGGGAAACCCTATACAGTGTTGCTATGGATCAGAACCTACTCTATGGCACTTAACAACAACAACAGCATTTACCTAGCCTGGCATGGCTCAAAATGCTTTACATCTTTACATGTATTCTTATCATTTTCTCAATACTCCTATTGAGGTAGATTTTATTATCCAAATGAGTCACAGAAAGGTTAAATAAGTTGAACAAGATCTCACAGCTAGTGGGACTAAGATTAGAGCCCTGGGAATCTGGCTTCCTCAGGACCATGTTTTGTGATTTGTTTGTTAGGTGCTATCGAGTCGACTCTTACTCATATGACCTTATGTACAACAGAGCAAAACACTGCCCCATCCTGTACCATCCTCACAATTGCTGTGTTTGAAGCCATTGTTGTTGCCGTGGTATCAATCCATCCATTGAGGGGTCTTCCTCTCTTTTGCTGACTCTCTACTTTGACAAACATGATGTCCTTATCCAGGGGCTGGTCTTTTCTGACCACATATCCAGAGTACAAATGACAAAGTCTCTGTATCCTCGCTTCCAAGGAGCAAGCTTCTAAAACAGATTTGTTCCTTCATCCATCAGCTTATGGTACTTTCATATTCATTGCCAATACCATAATTCAAATGCATTCATTCTTCTCTGGTCTTCTTTATTTATTGCCCAACTTTCACATGTATATGAGGTGATTGGAAATACCATGGCTTGGGGTGGGTATAATCTAGTTCTCAAAGTGACATTTTTGCTCATTCAAACTTTAAAGAAGTCTTTGGCAGCAGATTTGCCTAAAGCAATATGTTGTTTGATTTTTTTAACAGCTGCTTCCATGAGTGTTATTTATGGATCCAAGTAAAATGAAATCTCTGACAACTTCATTTTTTTTCCTGTTTATTTATTTATTGATGTTATTTATTGGTCTACTTATGAGGGTTTTGCCTTTCTTTACATTGAGGCTCAATCCATGCAGTCTTTGATATTCATCAGTGAGTTCTTCAAATTCTTTGCTTTCCAGCAAGCAACGTTGTATCATCTGCATGCCACATATTGTTAATTAGTTTTCCTGCAATTCTTTTGCCACATTCTTCTTCATATAATCCAGCTTCTCAGATTGTTTACTCAGCATATAGTCTGAATAAATCTGCTGAAAGGATACCACCCTGACGCACACCTTTACTGGTTTGAAACCATTCCGTATCCCCTTGTTCTGCTTGAATGGCTGACTGCTTCTTATTCTATGTACAGGTTCTGCATGAGCACAAACAAGTAAGTGCTTTTGAATTCTTCAAAATGCTATCCATAGTTTGTTATGATTCACAGTCAACTGCCTTTGCATAGTCGATAAAGCACAAGTAAATATCTGTCTGTTATTCCCTGCTTTCAGCCAAGATCCATGTGACGTCAGCCATGATCTCCCTTGTTCCATTTCCTCCTCTGAATCTGGAAGAATTTCCGGACAATGTATACTCCTCATACCAGGTGCCTTCTAGTTGATTCAGACTCATGGCGACCTGTTGTTGCTGTTGTTGCAAAGGGCCTTCGCATCAGTTCTGACTCATAGCCACACTCTAGAGGGCTTCCAAGGAGCAGCTGGTGGATTTGAACTGCCGACCTAGTGGTTCACTGTCTAGTACTGATCCTGCAGCGCCACACCAGAAGTCCCATGTCCTCCTAATATATGTCAAACTAAAACAGTACTCTGTAGGATTTAAAATTTTTTTTATTGTGAATGGAGTGATAATTTCCATGGAAGAACATTGGTTTTGCAATCAACCATTTATCAATCCGTGTATCATCAGTTAACAGTATTTGCCTCTATTCCCTCTTTTTTTGGTTTATGTACACAAAAACATGCAGGAATATATAATCATTTAAACAACCAAAGGACACATTTTGCATCCAGCCACCCAGCCGCTATCACCCAGCCTTTCTCTTTCCATGAGTGTAGAGTCCTTATCTGCTCAGCTCTCTATGCCATCACCTCTGCCTCCATCTCTGGTGTCGCTGCTTGTCTGGTTAGGATCCATAGGGTCTTCACTGATTGATTTTTC